TTTTTTTGCTATAGGCGCCTCCACGCTGTTTAAGGCTCAGCGGCCCCAGCAATTTACACCTGATATTAAAAAAATGAATTTTCAATATATCACTTCGTGTAAAAATTACAGTGAACCATTATTGCAAGCTGAAAAACTATGGCGTCACATGAATTTTAATAAAGTGCGGAAAGTTGTGATTTTGGCTACCGGTTGGACGAACACTGTGAATGATTCGTCAGCGTTGGCAATGCTTTCGCAGGCGTATTTGTGTCGAAAAGATGTGAATTTTATTGTAAGTGCATATATGTACATATGTCTATATATGTATTAAGTTATCCATTCCCTGATACCTAATATCTGTTATCTATAATTTGTCATCTATTATATATTACTAGTGAACTAGTGGCGTTAAAACGCCGAAAATTGGATTTCAAAAACTTAAAAAATATTCCAAATATTAGTCAGAGTTATAAAAGATCCAAGTGCCATATTTCATCAAAACCGTGCAGGCTTTTCTGAGTGAAGAGTGTTTTTATTTTCATCGAATTTCAAATCACCCTATACCAATGAAAAAAGTTCTTAATTAAAAAAAAATAAAACTTTATCATACATCAATTTTGGGTCTCTAATTTGATCTCTCATTTTTGAAAATCTTCTCGTATTCTCAAGCTAAAATTTTCTTAAATCTCTTTCGTCTGATATTGTTATACACATGTATTTCAAGAAGCTGATGAACTAATTCGAATTTGATTGTTCGAACAAATGGCAACCCTCCTAAGTAAAGATCAGGAATAAATCCTTTTCAAACCGATTTCGATTTATACCCATCTTTCAATAATTCATCCAACTTACTGAATAATTTGAATGTAACTGTTTAAACACGTGGCAACACTCTTCAAATAATCGAAATGTTCAAACTAAAGATTTCTTAACATTTTTTCGCTTGACTACGGTATTCTTATAGTTCATATACTTTTTGAATTAGTTAATTCAAAAAGACCTTTTAAACTGGTGGCAGCCCTCTTCAAAAGTATTTTAAAGCTTAATCATTGTTAACTCTCCTTCGCCGGACACTACGATATATATTTTAATTAACTGATGAATTAAATGGAATTTCAATTTTCAAACATATGGCAACCACGCTATATACAGTTCAGAAAAAAAATTGCTCACCCCCTTCGATTGATACCTTTATTTTAATAATTCATTTAACTCATAAAATAATTTGAATTAAATTTTTTAAAATACGTGGCAACCCTCTTCCAATACCTCAAAAATATTCTTAGCATTCGATTTAAAGATCTCTTAACACTCCTTCGTTTGACATCCATATTTTGATATTTCGTCGAACTTGTGTATCTATAACTAAATTCGTTATTCAAGCAAGTGGCAGCCCTCTTCAAAATATTTTCACTACTTTCTGAAACCCCTTTCGTTTGGCACGCATATGGTGGTACATATTCTATTACCTAATATGATTTTTAAACAGGTGGCAACCCTCCTATAGTTAAGCTAAGAAACAAAGCTTTTCAAAACCATTTCGATTGATAGCAAGTTTGTAATAATTGATTTGTTTTTTTAAATTGTCTGAATATAATTGTTTAAAAGGTGGCAACTATTTTCAAAAAAGTAAAACCTTATTGCACATTTACACTCCAAGGTTTTTCGTTTGACGCCTCATTTTGGAAAATCGAACGAACGGTGCGGATTTGATGACAATTTGAATTAAGTTTTTCATCAGGTGGCAACTCTTTTCGCAAAATTAAAACCAGTTTGCACATCTACAGGCCAATCGCTTGAATTTGACATCTTATTTTTGAAAGTCGAGCGAACGGTACAGATTTGTTATCCTGGCCAAAAAATCCCTTCGCGTATTATATATGTATATGTATGTATAGATCTCCTACTGAGTATATATATTATATTATCTGTTACATATTATCAGCAATCAATTATACACAAACTAATTTATTATCTGTCATTTATTATCATTATTAATGTATTAAATATTATCGTTTATCTATTGTCTTTGATCTAGGTAGTTGATTAAAGCTTGAGCCCAAAAAGTATTAAATAAATAAGAGCGGAAGCTTTTTGGTTTACGGCCAGTGTTAAAATGGGTCACGCTAAGAAATCAATTTTTTGCTGATTTATAAAAAGTATCTGAAATTTCCGCAGCGCCGCAGTGTTCAATTTTAGGAAAAAAAAAGCACAAGAACAGCGAAATATGTATGTTTTCAAAACTTTTTAAAAAGTACACTGGGGGCTGATTTCAGGCAAAAAAAAATAAAATTAAAGCCTTCTATATTTGAAGGTCAAGGCAATTTTCGGATTCTCCATCTCAAAAACTGTAAATCACCGTTACATTTATTTCGCTACCTCTTCTCGTTCTAGAGACATTTGACTTTGTCTCCTTTTCTCAAAAATAGAACACTGTGCGCCGCCCGCGTCATATACGGTTTTACGTTATGCTATCAAATGTTACAGCTGCACCTCCATCTGTTAGCTCTTTTCGGTTGATTTCTATGAATATTAAAAAGTTTTAATTAACTTATTTTTTAAATTTATTGTTACTTTTTTTTCAAAATTAGTTTGGAAATAAAGCATAACTAAACGTCTCTCGTTTGACATCAGTATTAAGATATTCAATTTAACTTGTTACTTAAATTATTTCAAAAATATTACTTAAATAATATGTTCCCAATTAAGCTTTCTTAAACTACCCTCGCTTGATATTCACACTAAATATTTCGCTTAACTTGTTAATTAAATTGATTTTTAAGATTTAAACAGGTGGAAACCCTCTTCAAAAATATTTTCGAAATAAAGCTTTTCCAATCTCTCGTTTGGCGCCCAAATTAAAATAGTTGATTAAATTCGTGGTTAATAGGAATTGCATAAAAGAGGCAGCAACACTTTCGTTTTAAGTTTGAGTTGTTATTGTTAAATACGGATACAGGGTTGGGAGACCTTTCTATATGTACAATCGGCAGACCACTATAGACCTAACAAATATTTATTAGGTATACGCATCGAACTTCAAATATGTTCAGTATTTCGAATTTTTCTTATCCCATTCCCTCAGATTGTCGATGCTGGTTACTACGTAGACACGCTATATAAATGGTCCGCAATGAACACCGAAGAAATTGGAGAAAGTATTGGTAAAGGTCTGAAGCATTTGATAAAAGTTGTACCGCTGCAAAATATACACCTAATCGGTAAGTGAGAAAGTTAGAAAGGTACTTTGTATTTCATAAAATTTAATTACTCATCCCTATCCTCTTTCAAACGTCAAGGTCACAGTTTGGGCGCACACATCATGGGCACTGCCGGGCGTACATTCACCAAATTGACTGGTAAAAAAATACCACGCATTACCGGCTTAGATGCAGCCAAACCATGCTTTCGCTCAGACGACACACTCACCGGCTTACATCGGGGTGATGCCGAATTTGTGGACGTCATTCATACAAATATTGGAGTATTGGCGAAGAAGGAGCCTATTGGCGATATCGACTTCTATCCTGGTGGTGCAAATCCGCTACCACCTGGCTGCTTGACTATATCATGCGCTCATTCACGCGCAGTCGAATATTTTGCCGAGAGTGTATATCCAGGCAATGCTAAAAATTTCATCGGTTGGAGATGTTCGGATTTTCAGGCACTGGAGAAGTTGAAATGTAATCGGAAAATTACCTCACCTATGGGCATCGCGGTTGATCAGCAACAAAGGGGTATATTTTATGTGCCAGTGAACTCAAACTCGCCATTCGGCAAAACGGCGAAACCGAGCAGCGAACGATGGCAAAATGCACGATGTCATAAGTGTGAAAAATCAAAGCAAATAAAAAAACAACGAGCGGGTTTTCGGAAATTGGGAAAACGCAGGCGAAGGGATAATGGCCGGAAATGTATTAAGTGCAGGAAAGTTAACAAGGCGAGGAAACCGAAAAAGGGAAAGCAGGCGAAATATGCGAAGCTGGGGAAAAAAGCTAAACAGCCAAGAGCGGCGAAACAAGCAAAGGCAGTTGAAAGGGCAAGATCAAGAAAAAGAAACATTCGACCAAAACAGCCAAACAAAGCTAAAAACTTAAAGGAGAAAACATCAATGAAGGCTTAATTTATTTATCATTTTTGCATAGGCTAGTCAAATATTCATTTCGAGTAGGTAGTAATGATATACGAAAAACTTAAACCACTTATCAAAACGAATTTATATAAGGTGACTGATTTCAAGGCGAATTTGTACTGCTTGTACAAAATGATGTGTATGTTGTTACTTTGTTCGTGTTATTATTGTTCTTTTGCATATAGTTTATTAGTATAGTTTTTATTTTTGCGCTACCGCTATCACTTAGTATGAATTCGCCTTGCCATTTATGTTCGCCAATCAACTAAAAAGTCTCCGAAATTATAAAAGTATTGAAAAAATAAACACTACGCCTGCTGTTAAGCCTCGACCCTGACATAATTTCAAAATATAAAAAGCACTTTAGCAAAATACGGTGGCAAATTCATTGTTGTTTACATAAGTATTATTATTTAAGCAGCTGTTCACGATTTACTTAAGTTTTTTCTTTTTAATTCTGTGGTTAAATACTTGTTATACAATACGTATGCACATTAGGGTGGATCGAAAAAACAGTCACAGAGTGGTGTTGTCTAGAAATTTTTAGCGAATATGAGTTCAGCTCAATAAGAACTTTCCAAACAACATCACTCTGTGACGGTTAAAATGCACAAATCTGTACAAATGTACAAATCGTGTGATCCCTGCTTAAGACAATTGTCAATTCTATCTGGAAAGCTCTTTACTGTCTTTCCAAAGACAAAGTGAAAGATGTGCTAACGCTAGCGCTATGCTGTTAACCTTTTATCAATAAGTTTTAGCAATAAAAACTTTTAAATAAAAGAAAACAAAATGAAAATAAAGCAAAAATTAATAAAAATATTTTTTAATACATGCACAAATGTATATCGTCGTTTAAAGTACAAAACCGCGTATCAACAAAATGCAAAACCGCGTATGTGAGATTGCATAAATTATTTTCTAGAGAGTATAAAAACTCGCGTTTCAAAATGGTTCTCTTTTTTATAAAGCAATCGAATTTCTGGCTAGTATATTTCAGGACGAATGGATAAGGATTGAGCAAGAGCTCGTGTGAGCAAATCCAATTTTTGGCAAAAAATGTCAGTTACGCGGTTTTGCAGAACGACGATACGCGGTTTGGTGCTTTAAACGACGATATATTTTTCCTTTTAAAACAATACAATATAAAAATTTAATTAGAAAAAGAAAAAAATAAATCAAGAAAGACGAAAATAATAGTTAAAATGAAATGCAGTTAAAAAATATTTTTATTTTCTAAACAAAATCTAAAAATTAAAATAAATATAATTTAAAAAGACAAAAAGCTAAAATAAAATAAGACGCTAAAAATTAAATAAAACAAAAGAAAATATATCTTTATCTTTAAAACAATAGATTCTAAAACCAGAAGAAAATTAAATTAAAAAAAAATAAAACATATTTAATAAAAAAAGAAAATATATATTATGTTTCTTTCTAAAACTTAACTAAAACTGCAAAAATTATATTTTTCTTTTCAAACAATAAAATCTTAAAAAATAAAAAAAAAATAAAATAAGTTTCTAAATACATATTAAGTTGAATAAAAAAATATATATTTTTCATTTTAAGACAATGAAACGTAATAACTAAAAGAAAATTAAATAGAAAAAATAAAAAATATTTAGCTAAAAATAAAATACATTTACGTAAATTTAATGAAATAAAAGAAATATATTTTACTTATTAAAATTAAATAAAATAAGTTTCTACATATGTAATAAAATTGTGAAAATAACTATATTTCTTTTCAAGACCATGAAATCTAATAATTTTAAGAAAATTAAGTAAAAAATGAAAAAAAGTGTATGACAAAAAATCCGCTGACCGAGGACTCGACTGGAGATGGGCACGGGACTGAATATTTAATCCGCCCATCCCGAAATTAAATTTTTAAGTCCCGATGCCGCCCATCCCAATGTTTTCCAGAATTGTACCGCGGGTCCTGTGGGGCCCCAAAATCTATCACTAAGAAAAATTCTCATGTCTTTCATCGTTTTTAAGGAAGACTTTCGGAATTTGCGGATTTATCGAGTGTCGGGAAAGGATTTTGGTCCCGTTCCGCCCGCAAATTTTTTAAGACCTTCCCAATACCGCCTATCCTGGCCAATTTGAAATCAACACCGTGGGTCCCACGGGTCCCGATAGACCGCGCCCACCTCTAGGCTCGACCTGGGACCACCCGGAGTTGATATAAACGTGGTAAAATGAAATGAGACGAAGGGTTATAAATTGAATATCCTTTTCTGTTCTATGTATACCCACATTTCAAAGTAAATAATTTTAAGGTTAGAATGGAAATCGAAAAAACACGGCTTTTCTGAATGAATCTGAATAGCGTTACAAGTTGATAAACAGTAAAAAATCCACTGTGAAGTATCAAAGCTTACCCTTTCTATTAAGCAACTCTAACTCTTTTCGTTTTATAAAATCCTGATATGTTAGAGTTCTTTGCCCAGTTACATTCGTCTCGCTAGCAAATACTTGTGTAGTGTCATTTGTCGTGTTGTTATTATGCAGTGCTTGACTTAGAAGTTTGATGGCTAAAAATAGTGTTTATGTAAGTGTAAGTGTTAAGTTACCCAACAGACTTCTACATGTGAAGTGCTATGCGTTGGGTAACCGCTTCCATGCAAAGCTCATTTAACAGATTCCTTATGTGACAACTCTCATGCAAGGCCAAGTATGCATAACTGATCTATTAGCCAATCTGTGTTTGCTGTGTTTTTTAAGCTTGTGCTTAAAGTGAAAATAAATTTTAAACCCTACTTGAGAAAACGGCCCTTAGGGCCGGTTACTCAATGTCTGGTGGTTAACACTAATCTGCTGTTAAACATCGTTATCGACGTCTTCGACTCCATGTATATAACAGGGAGTCGCTAGTGTCGATAACTATGTTTAACCGGAGATTAGTTTTAACCAGATATTCAGTAACCGGCCCTTAAAGTTGCAAATAAATGTTTAAATTATAAATTTATAAAACAAACATTCCTCAACTCACCTTCGTTTTGCTCCTCCTCGTTGTAGGACGAGAAAGAGTTACCTTTCAACGTCAAGTACTTCAAAGTTGTATTCATGATTGTTAGTGTTCGAAAAGGCACTTGTGTTAGATTATTGTGTGCTGCTGAGAATATAACAACACTGTGGCCCATACGGGTTTCATTTTCCAAAGTTTCGTTGTACAGCGTATCGTCATCGTCAATGTGCTTGTAAGAGAAATCCAAGTAGATTTTGACCGCTGGAAAGATTTCACCATCTACAATTATTAAGATATATAATAAAAATTTGGAGTTCAGAAAAGGTTTTTTTAGTTTGTTTTTTAGTTTTTAGTTTGTTAGTGTTCGCGATCGAAGATTTTCTCGAAATAATCGATTTTAGCGAATCGACTATAAATTTTCGGTATCGATCGAGAATCTATTCTGAGAACTCGATTCTCTTATTTTTCATACATCTTTAGATACGCGTCATTTGTTAGAATTGTGAAATTGTGAAAATTTAGCTATGGATGATGGCCGCTTTTGTAGGTTTTTCAAGTGAAAGAAAGATTGAAATAAATAATCGATTAGAATCGAGTAGTTCGAATCTCGCCGTCGATTATTCGGTTCCAATAATCGTAAGGATTAAATAAGATTCGAGAATCGGGAATCGACTATTTTTCAAAACTTTCAATCCTTATTTCTCACTACCAAAGTATGTGTTTGGGCAAAATTAAATTAATTCTTCTTTAACATAAACTAATAGTGTTTGCTTGTATCGTGTATTGTATGTATGTATCGTGTATGCTGGAAATTAACATGAAATCTCAAAAGCTCATAAAAGCCGAACGGTTTCAAAAAAAATTTCAAGATGAATAACTCAGTGATATAAAAAAATATATTTTTTTTTTTTATCAAAAATAGGGGGTATGCACTGTAGCCAATGGTGATCGTGGTTGTAAGTCAGACTAAGCTTTGAGGTGCCATCAAAATATAAAATTCAAAGCAATCCAAAAATCCGAAAAATAATTAATAGTCACGAATAAAATATCCAGTGAATACCGAATATTACTGAAAAAAAATCCCATATAGTTCAAAGAAAAACTTAAGAGATCTCCAAAAATTCATAAAAAAATCTGGAAATACTCTAAAAATGTACAAAAGTTCACAAAATCCCGGACGGTCCGAAAAACAATTCCAGAAAATTACGAAGCGGCTCGAAAAACTCCCAAAACAAAACTACGGAAAAAGTCCGGAAAAGTATCGAACAAATAACAAAAAATTACTAACGGTCACGAAAAAAAAATTTAAAAACTCCGAAAGCCTAAAACGGCAAAAGCCGAAGGGAAAAAATCCCACTTTGAACACCGAGTAATACCGACAAAATCCAAAAAGTCCAGAAAAAATCTCGAGTGACCCCGAAAAAATCATAAGAAAATCTAGGAAGTCCCGAAAAAAAAGTCGGGTTTAATTTTGAGCTTGGTTGAAGCATACATAAATAACGCTGTTGGTGTCCCTCCTCCTCTTCAAAACCAAAATAATACTCAATAACTACTCTTTTAGCTGATAACAAACAGTGGCTACTGCAATTGCTCGTTTATTGCTTAGGCGTAATCAAATGCACTTGTGCAGCTCTTTAAGATGAATTAAAAATGTCACTCATACGTCGTGTAAGACTTTACATTATTCAAGTGTGCTTCTCACAGCGCTTTCCATGCAGTATTCAACACTATTGAGATATCTATAGAATGAACAAGGGAATATACATACGAGTACACTTCTTAGGCATTGAAGTTGCATTAACCAATGTCAAGGCAGAAATGTATAACAGCTGTAGGCACAGGTTAAGTAAGTTAAAGAACTATCCACCATCATTGGAGTGGGAACTATTTTAAATTTTAATAGTGTGATAAATTTTATAATTGATTGGTGCAACCGGATATCAATGTTTGCTAAAGCAAGTTGTTCCAGTTCATTTAGAGGAAGAGACTAACTTCATCTCTTCAAAGCGGTTTATTA